TGCCTATGTTCTTTTCCATAATCTATGTGATAATTTACTTCGATACTCGTACAGACGTACGTATTTCAGTAATAAAAATCATTCATCCACAGCTTACCACTTATAATAGTAATAAAATTGATCTACTTTTGTTGACGACTGTACATTGATTTCCGACTCGCTTGCATGCTATCCTTATCACCTTTTTTATACCTATTAATAATTAGGTAGATTGGCATTAGGTGGGTTGGCAACCTGCGGGAATCCCCTTTAACTCAAATCATTTGGAGGAATTTACGAATGTTTAAATTAAAATGAATTCAATACATGAATTTATAAGCAGTGACGTAAGTAAAGGGGTGCTCAGGCATAGGGCGCAGACCGTGGAGGAAGACAGAAGTAACCAAATCTGCGTAGAACGGATATAGACGCATTTTATGAGGCGCACTGGGCGCATAAAATGCAAGTTATGATACTGTTTACGAGACGGAATGTGAAGACTACCGTCGATTCAGCACTCTGATTATTAATTTTTAATATATTTTTGTCCTGAATCTGGAAGGGGATTCAAAGGACAGTTATAGTCCGATGCAAAATTAATTACGGCTCTGAAGGTCTGAAGGTACAGTCAAGTCGACTCGACTGTACGTAGACAGGAATGTGCGCGCATGTGCAGTGTACGTATGTAACTCACACACTAAAAGGCATGTGTGTCGTGTGTCGCCCTGCTCCCGCACTCCTTTATGTCCCGCTGCTGTCTAATATTGTCTTCTGCGCATCGAAACACACGATCTTCCGAGCCACCATGTTTGCTTCGGATTACACTTACCCGTAAAGGCCTTACGAAAATAATAATTGCTTTCTATATTATTAACTTACACTTATTCCGTGTGGTGACGGATTAAGAATACGAAGTGTAACCACCCCTATTTATTTTGTGGGTGTCGTAACAGCCGACTAAGGGAACAAAACTACGCAAGACAACAGCACTGCTTTGAGAAGGAAAACTTGAGACAAACCCTATGCCAACCCGTCTGGCCATCGTGGAAATGTAGGCAAAACCTCCTTTCCAAGGAGAGACCTATGTCCAGCAGTAGACTATTAAAGGCTGTTGATGTGGATTATAATTAGACTATAGAGCATCGCTTCATTTTTTAAAGACGTAGGTATTTGGAAACAGATAAACCTCGGCAATTTTATAAAATATAAAAAAAAAATGTGATTAAAATCCTAAGAGCACCGTGGGAGAGCCATGCTTCGGCACAAATAGACAGGCACGACCTGATTGGATGTCATAGCCTCACAGAAAACTGGTGTTAAGCTATTCTTTTTTCTTTTTACCAATCGTGTGCGGTTACCAGAGACCAAACTCCCCTTCTTAATTCTGGGCTGTCATCGAAGGACTTGTGTCTCTTGAGTGGTAAGTCTGTCTGTTTGCCCCCTTTTTTACCACTGTGGTGGTTATGTTGGACCCGTACTGACTAAAAACCGCGGGCCGTCTCGCTTACTAGTAGCCGGGGAACCAGAAGGCCCATTCTCGTAATAAAAGTTCAATCACAATTCAGTTCCAATCAACTTTCGATCTCACAACTGTCATAAAAGTTATTTTCGTAGTAAAATAGTAAAGTATTACGTCGGACCTAACACTAGCAGACTACCGATTCATTTTCGCTTACAATACGATATAATCACATTACAGTAAACGTTGGACGTTTAATACTTTACTCGTACTACAAAAATACCTTTTATGGCAGTTCTGCGATCGAAAGTTGACCGGATCTGAATTGTGACCGAACTTTAATAATTGGCTTTCTGGTGTACCTTAGAAAAGAAATCCCTATTAGCTTGTTTACCCCGAAACTTCTTTTTTATACTTGTGTAAAGAAGTTTCTGAGGTACACGAATAAACATATTTATGTCTAAGAATTGCTCGTTTAAATTTATAAGATAATAACTATTATAGACTATTTATTCCGTGTCTGTTTCATAGCGCATAGAGAATTTCCTGGTCTAATTTTAACAGTGAGTCACTTACATATCTTGAACTATCTTGAATTAAATTGTGTGAGTTCTCAATTAATGAGTCACGAGCACTACGCAGTGTTATAGTAACCAAAAATGTTGTGATGAGGCTTCTTAATAGACACGGCACTGGAGAAACCTGAGTCTAATATCCATTTTTATAGAGTAAGGTATGCAGTCCGCCTGTTTTTTTAATGGCATAGTGGGGGGGGGGGAGCAGCAGACCTGATGGTAAGTCGAACTCGAGAGTCACTACTGCGTTACCGCAGCAAGGCCATTTTTGTTCTGAGATTAACCAAGTCACATGCTTCATACAAATCATAAAGTGCACTTCATACGCCGCTTTCTAATCAGCCATTATCGTTCATAATCCGACAAAAACTATGCTGGTTTTATCTGACAGTTAGCTTGCGAATAATGAATGATTTCACATTAGTTTGATAAGCACTGAGGTTTTTATTTGTGTCCAAAAATATATAAGTAATAAAACTAGAGATGTAATGGTATAGGAAACACCGCCTATACCCGTATAACACCTGCTTTTCAAGGGACAACAAGTGCATTGTAGTCCTTTGAGTCCAAGGTATTTTTATGTTGAAGAAAGAGAGAAATAATGAGTGAGAAAGAGTTTGAGCTCCAGTTATCTCACTCACTCGGTGCAACGCACTAGTTTTTCCGTAAACGGTACTTAAAGATTAAAAATTGTTATACAGCATATTTTTATAAGAAATCTATTTAAATATATAATTTATAAAAATCGACTTTAATAAGGAAGAGTTTTTCAATTTGACTGACTATTTATTTGCGTGTATGTCATGCGATATCTTCGCCATCTGTAAATCAATTTCAACCATTCTTTTTTGAGGGTCAGATCGGCTGTTGGCGTGGCTACGCGTCACCACAGTATGCGTCGCCACGCTATGTGATAGTACAGAGAAATCACTAATAGAGCGAATTTAGTTATCTCCATTAAATTTTTGTGTTAAATCAGAATAGCCAGCTGTAGAGTTTGTTTGGTTGAACGCGCTAATCTCAGAAACTATTGGTTCGAATTGAAAAATTATTTTAGTTTTGGATAGCCCATTTATCGAGGAAGACTATTGACTATATTACATTACGCTGCGACCAATAGGAGTCGAGCATTAATGTAAAATGCAATGCAACAACGGGAAAAATTTATTCCTTTTGAAAAAAGCAGACAAAATCCTGATATTAAAATAATAAAAAAAAAAAACAATATTATACACATATTTAATTGCGATTTTTATGTATGTTCACCGATTACTCGAATACACCTCAACTGACTTGGAAAAATATTTTTTTTGTTTTAAAGGGTTTATTGTTGGGAAACATACCCTTTAAAACAAAATTCATTTAAATTTTATTCAAATCGGTCAAGTGGTTTCTGGAAAATCAACAAAAATCTAAAAATAGTATATATCGATGATATTTTTGCTTACTTACGAAACCTAGTTGTCTCATTGGAGCAGTGCGGCGTTTAGTTAGTTGGTCTTTGTTATATAGTATTATTTGAAGTCGGTTCAATTTTTTTTTAAAAGGATTTTCAAAATCGGTTTCTCAAAACACTCAAACAAACTCACTTTCACATCTATACAAATAAATAAAATTGGAATGTCTGTTTGTAATATTAAAATAACCGCTTTTTACTAAATGCATATGTATGTTTACACGGTACATATGCCAAAATAACATTTTTTACAATTTTTGTCTGTCTGTTTGTTCCGGGTAATCTCTAGAACAGCTGGACCGATTTCGACGGGACTTTCACTGGCAGATAGCTGATGACATAAGGAGTAACTTAGGCTACTTTTTTTAGACTAGCTTCGCCCTGCAGCGTTGCCCGCCATATAACAACAAACGCGGGTAACGCCGCGGGTCTCAGCTAGTTTATAATATAGTTATGGAATGAAAAAGACTACTGTCTTAATATTACACACATACATACATACAATATACACTATTCAAATAATATTTTTTTCTTAAAAGTGTCTTTAAACTCTTTCGTCGGACATTCACCTTTTACTTTTGGCAATATGTCAAAAAAACTATACCACCATGTCGCTAAACATACACTCACGTCTTATCCCCAAAGGGTAGACAAGGGCATATTAAAGGCCCACATATTGCCTACTATAATTTTAATCCCTCTTAAGTAACCCCCGTAGACAACCCTATCCCCGTCAACCAAGCACATATCTTTCTAAATAAACTTACCTATATATTTCTAAATACATACATATTATACATAAATTAAATTACCCGTGGTACCGTGTGGTGTCGAACTAAGAATACGGAATGCCACCACCCCTATTCATCCTGTTGGGATCGTAAAAGCCGACTAAGGGAGCAAACTATGCAGAACACAGCAATCTAAAGTGAAGGAAAATTTGACACAAACCCTTTTCTAATCCATCTGGCCAGGGTGTCATAGTAGGCCAAAACGTCCTTTCTAAGAAAAGGCCTATGACCAGTAGTGAACTGGTAAAGGCATGTGATGTGATGTAATACAGAAATTAGACCCATAATCATGCTCATCACACAATATTTGTGCTGGGTGGAATTTAACCCAATACCTTTCGCTTAGCAGTCAGGTTCGCTAACTACTAAGCCAATATTACAGTCAATGGTTTCCTGTGAAGCCGTAGTACCATTCTGATCTTGCTGACCCATATTATTTTCTTCTAACTAGGTGCCCCCACTGTAGGCATAGCCCTAAGGCCTGAGCCTTTACGAACTTTGAACGCTCTTTTTTCTATTTTTTTGTAATTATGACTGATTTTTTAGATGTATAAGTTAAAAGCATGGTTAGTTGGATATTAGTATCTTCTGTATATCTTCTACAAGTCATGATCACCAGCATCGAACCATTTAAACACCAAGCATGATACTCGAATCCCATAGAATGTTAAACTGTCTTAGAAACCCCCTCAGAAGTATTGAGGACGATGACTGCAATTAATATAGTTTTTTGTGTGCAGTGACACGGAATTGGCGCTGGAGTTGAGCGAGCAGGTGTTCCTGGATGAAGATGAGTACTCCACACGGGCACCAGCCTCTCCTACGACCGTACCCAATGTGCGACCTTACAGGCCACCTTCCACAGGTAACATTTTGATAGCCTTACACACGGCCCATCACATCATCACATCACATCAATAGAGTTTAACAGTCCACTGCTGGACATAGGCCTTTCCTTAGAAAGGAGGTTGGCCGTCTGGCCAGCGTGGTATAGTAGGCCAAAACCTCCGTGCTGTTGTCCTACGTAGTTCGCTCCCTTAGTCGCCTCTTACGAAACCCACGGGATGAATAGGGGTGGTGACACTCTGTATTCTTAATCCGTCACCACACGGCTTAATGATCCCAAACTAGGCAGACCCTGTACTATGGTAACCAGGCTGCTGATAAACGTACCTACTTAGATATTTCTAAGCTATACCTGGGTATAACATACAGAATTAGGTTTCAACTCACAACATGACGCTTTCAAGTCTTAACGTCTTGCATCTTCTTACATTTGAAATTTTCTATACTGCTCATGCACATGAAAAATTGCGATGCAATTTCAAAGCAAGGCACGGGGCGATGCTTTGAAATTGCATCTCATTTTTTCCCGCCTCCGGCCACGTAAAATATGATATCCCAGCCTTTCTCGGAAGACATACGAATACCGTAATGATCCAGTGAATCATTTAATACAAAACAAACAGACACATTTTATAATAACGTCGTATCATAACATAGAGGGGGTTTTCCGCACAGAAAAAAAAAAAAAAAAAAAAAAAAAAAAAAGGGGGTCCGACTGCCCGTCAACAGTCGCTTCGGGTTACATGCATGCTACTCTGAGCTGCTGAATTCTTTTCTCTTTTATTAAAAAGATAACTCCTGCACTAGGAATATATCCGGGGAACACAAATAACACCCAGAGTCGAAACAACAATTTTTGGAGCACACAAAGGGTTGTCCCATGTGGGAATCAAATGGGTGACCGCTTAAACCACTACGCCATCCGTGCAGTCAAAACTTTTGCTTACGATCCTCAAGCCCGTAAACATATTTAAGCTGTATTCTTTTATAACAATTATCTACCCTTCCTTTTTAACCCCCCGACGCAAAAAGAGCGGTGTTAAAAGTTTTACGTGTCTGTGGCATCGTAGCTGCTAAACGACTAGACCGATTTTGATGCGATTTTTTTGTTTGAAAACTGACGTGAGCTCATTTCTTAGTTGATGATGGGATCTCACTAACTTCACAACTCCGATTAATTTAAAATTTAGAGATGTTTCTATGATATGGGAACCTTGATCCGATGCTGCATCCAAACCTTGGGGTGATGCTGGTGTAGGGGATATTCCACAATTTTTATTTGTGTTATAATAATAACCTTCACACCGCACACGGCTGTCTGATCCCAAACTAGGCAGAACTTGTACTATAGTAACCAGACTGCTTATAAACGTACTTATGTATTTCTAAATACATACATATTATAAATGAAATACACCCAGACACAGAACAATTGATCATTCTTATCACACAATTATTTGTCCTGGGTGGGAATCGAACCCACGACCTCTGGCTCAGCAATCAGGGTCATCAATCACTAAACCAACAGGCCCGTCAAGTCCCAAATTTCTCATCATTCTGAAATTGCCTATTTTATTAGCAAAATTTAAGTTTTTAATATGACACTGTCCACCCCTTCTGAGACATAGTCGTGAGTGTACGTAGGTATATGATAATTGTTCATCTGACCTGACTAAATGATCGTCACCTCATCATCATCATCATCAGCCTATCGCAGTCCACTGCTGGACATAGGCCTCTCCCATTGCACGCCACTTAGATCGATCGTCACCTGACCTTACGATATTCTCTGAGCAGTAATATCTTATCAGCTAATATATTTTTGGTAAGGTCAAGGTCTGTTGGTAAGCGGTCGCTGGTGTTTATAAATATTAGAACTAACTGTAATTTCACGTCATTACGCCTTTTCCTTCTCACTGAGTGCTGACGACCTTTCTGAAGAGAACAGAAGGTGTTTATGGAGCGTTGGCGTCTTGTAGACAGCTCGCCATATATATTCCATGATTTGGCACAAAGGGTGTAATATCACGGCCTCGCAGAAAACTGCAATTATTTCCTTGCTTTTCAAACAGACTCCCACTAACCCCCTTTCCCCCCACGGGTTGCTGGAGCCTGAACCCTCCGCTCCTCCTGATTCACCCCCTGAAAAAAGAGACACGAAATGGTTTACGTTTGTTTTTGGACACCTGACACAACGCCATCTAGTTTCAAACTAAGCAGAGCTTGTACTATAAAAGCTAGATTAACTGATAGCATTTTTATATTCTTTTTTTTTGTAGATACATACATAGAAAACCCTAAACTCGGAAACAAACATTTGGTCCGACCCGGGATCCCGAGACCTCAGCACAGCAGTCGCATACGCTACCACTGCACCACCGACGCAGTCATTATCTGACCTTTAGCGACAATTTGCCCTATTAATAATTCATTATCAAAACTGAAATGATTTAACATTTACTATCAAAGTTTATAAATAAAATTGCGCATGTGTGCGTTGACGTTTATACAGATCAAAGGTCAATTGTTAGAAAGTATGGCATTCGAATTTAATACTAATGGGTCTTGTTATAAGGTTTATTTACAAGTGTATTGCTGGAATGTTATGATTCATTATTCGCTAACGACACGGGTCATTACGTTTGTGATATAGACCACACACAGCTGGATGCATTTTAGAATCCGCTTTGGAATATGAAATTCGAAATTTGAAAATATGTATGTCTACACTTTCGTAATTGGTTGAATTTTATATTTTTTTAAATTATATTAATTTGATCCTAAGATAACACTAAACGACCAGAAACTTTATAGTCTGTTTTTTAATCTCGTAGACTAAATTGACATTACGAGTGTTGTCAGTTTATTGCAATTCTTAAATAGTGATGTGGCACAACCGAAACTTAGCGTTAATAAAATCAAGTATCGTTTTTTTATCCTGAAATAATGTGTTTATCCTGAAATAATGTGTAGGTACTTATTTAAAACGTAATAATACAAAATTAATAATGTAAAACATATATTTTTAATTAAATAACTTAATTACAGGTATTCGCGTTAATCTGATTCAGATAATGACTCCATGTCTGAGGAATATTATGAGTCATCAGAATCGCCACCTACTTCTATGATAAACCTATCAGTAATGTCGTCGGTTATATGGCCCAGATGACACATTTGATCTTCAATTTTAATTACATGGACTACACAGTCTTTCCACCGCTGCGGGGTCACTTGACGAAGCCCTTCTTCAAAAAGGCTTCGTACTTCATTCATTTTGAATGTTTTATTATTTTTAGTGACATGCCCCTTTACTTGAGCCCAGACCAACTCAATCGTTCGAATTACGTATTCGTACAATTGTTCGTATGGTGTCAAGTTCCATAATTGCCGAATTTTTTAGTTCTGCGGTTTCGTAAGAGAAAAGGGTTAAGATTGCCGTTTTAACGCGTACGGGAACAACACTGATTGCGTCTATAATTTTTTTTTTGTTTAATCTAAAGGCATCGAAACATGGTCGGGTTACGCATGGCGTTGCGTGGTCAGATTTCCCTGGCAGTTTGTAGCACGTCGTGCAGCCGTGTGTACGTACGTGAATTTTAAATGTAAAACTTTGAATGAAAATTAAATTCGTCTATTATAAATAAAAAGTTACGATTCAACTAACCGGTATCGTAGGTACAACACTGCACAAAAGAGCTGGCAACATTATTTGTAAATTTGACATTTGCATGTGTCAATTTAGTCTACGAGATTAAAAAACAGGCTATAGATACTTTAATTTTATTCAAACATTCATAAATCGAATTAGAATACATTTCAATTTAACATTTAAAAATTCCGCGCATAGAATTAAAACACTAGGCGCCATGTTGTTATTCCACCATTACGTCATTATATATCAGCAGAAATCAAAATTTTTGCAATTTTGCTAAATTTCAACAATGAGTTACCATTCCTGTGATGCACTTTATGCATCATAGGATTGATATAGGGTTTGTTTCAAGTTTTCCTTCTTTTTGTAGTGCTGTTGTGTTGCACAGTTTGCTCCCTTAGTCGCCTCTTACGACACCCCCGTAATGAATAGGGTTGGTGACATTCCGTATTCTTAATCCGTCACCACACGGACGGTTCTTTCAAAGAGCGATATGTTAATTTTTATCAACGAAAGTTGATCGATTAGTCAGTAAATCAGTCAACCAATCAGTTTCTTCTTAAATATATGACCTTGATGGATTGTTTGTGTCTTCTGCGTTGTACGATGTCTGATGTCGGCCACACGCGGACGAAGGAACTAACACACTGATTCACTTCACTGACTGATTGATAAACGCACAGCTGAAACCGCTGGGTATCATCAATCATCAATCATCAACAGCCTATACTAGGCCACTGCTGGACATAGGCCTCTCCTTAGAAAGGAGGTTTTGGTTTACTATACGACGCTGGCCAGACGGGTTGGTATAGGGTTTGTTTCAAGTTTTCCTTCTCTTTGCAGTGCTGTTATCCTGCTTAGTTTGCTCCCTTAGTCAGCTCTTACGACACCCACGGGATGAATTGGGGTGGTGACAATTTGTATTCTTAATCCGTCACCACACGGACTGGTATGTACGGTACGGCTGGGTATAGAAGCATGAAATTTTGCACAAATGTTCCTTAGGTTTTTAAAGGATTTTTTAAAATTCCACCCCTAAGGGTACAAAATGGAGGTTAGCATTTTATATGGAATTTCGTTGTTTTTGGTAGTAGCGCTTTCAAACTGACTGTAACTCGTATTAAAAGTACGAGTAATGAAAAACTTTGTTATTAATTTTTCAAAACTACCCTTAAAAAGATGTGAAAGTTTGTATAAGAAACTATTTTTGTTAACTTATCGTTTCCAAACTTAGTATAATTATATTCTGTGAAAAATAATAATTAGACACCTATTTTTTTAACTTTTCAAAACGTTAGTATGTTTGTACTCAATCTCGCCAAAACGGCTAAATGGATCTGGACGAGACTTAGCACATAGGAATA